TACTTTTAAATCTTCAAAATTTCCAGACATGAATTCAATAGTTTTACATATATCTGAGGTTTGTTGTTTGAGCAAGTTCATTTCATCGTGTAATGTGCTAAACTTTGAGTTAATTAGTTCAAACAATTCCTTTTTTATGGTATTTAACGAATCGCTCAAATGCTCTTCAGAAGATCGTTTCCTTTTAAATCGAGTACTAATATTAGGCTTACCTTGAGCACTAACTTCACTTATAGCATTCGAGTCAGAGTCCGATTGAACTTGTTTTGTGGATGGAGGAGTACGGTGCATTTTACTTATACAAAACCGCTAAAGCTTATGAATAAGGGCAGATGTACGTCTTCAATGGTGTTATCATATACACCTAGTGTAGTAGTGCTTACCGTTAGCTGCAGAATACTAATACATGACTGATACCACTTTAAATTATTACTTTACACTTTTACTTTTACACTTTTATTGCACAAGGGTATCTAGAATTTAATAAAACAAGCACACGTCTAACAGTTACCGTCAACTGGGGATAATATAATATGATTAGGTTTGTCACTGAAATAATTATTAAGTCACTAAAAAAGGTGAAAATTTGTCGGCGCATGATTCTAGGAAGGGTAACGCTGTTTCCCTGTTAAATTCTGTGTAAAATTTTTGCCACATGTGCTCGAGCGTTATGCTATAATTGTGAAGCTTGTATTCCTTAATACTTTCAGATAAACTCTGAAACTGAACAGCCTACAATTGCACTGTCAAAGTGATAATGTTACCTTAGATAGCAATTGACACATTAATGAATCATAGATAAATATATATGTAGCAAGTAATGAATTCACCAAACACAACACAACTTTTTTTTCAGTATGGCTTGGTTTTGGGGAAGGTTTTATGGTTTTGCTTTTATTTACTCACTGTCTTTTGCGTTTAATGTTACGAATAAAATCTCTTCTTATCTATTGTAACTAGAATGTCCAACCGGCTTGTAGTTTTCTACGGCGAGAGAGTACTTGTATACACGAATCCACACGTAAATGGCGGTGATCTTTCGAGGTATTATATACGGAACACAACAACTGAACTTACATACTTTTCCTAACGCAATGACATTGTGTACGTTATGTGTTGCTACAATAGAGATGTAGCAACACATAATGCACTTTCTAATTTTGGGGTATGCGGTATTATATCTCTACACGAAGCTGAAGCTATGTCGTCTAACACCGAGGAACGGACGCTCGGCTCGAGGCCATACCGGTTTCGATGTAATAAGCATTTTATACTAGTAGTGCACTATACTATAATATTTAATGCGCATATTATAGTATACTGTCCTCTGGCGTATTCCATCTCCAAATACCTGGTTTAAAAGATAGTAGCCTAATGGCAGGGCGCGGAGCACGAACTCGAAAGGTCGTGGGTTCGAATCCGCCATTGGACTACTGTCGTGAACCACTTCTAACACAAGCATTTTAAGCTTACCAGAAGTGGTTTAAGGGAATATTAGTAATGTTTGATAGCATTACTAGCATTAAAAAAAAATAAAAAAAAAATACACTAGCATTATATTAGACCGGAAGTCGTAAAGTATGATATAATGTTATTGTTCACGCGTAATATTAAAGCTCGCTATCATCCTTATAGCAAACATTAAACAGGATTACACGATAATTTGAATTAAACATTGAATTAAACAATTTTTACGGATTTTTTTCGCGTTTAATTTACTTATTTTTAATTCCCGACATTTCGGGTGTTTTACAGCACCCATGGTCATGGGGGGCTGTGACTGAGATTTTTGACATCCCGATGTCACAGTCAGCCCGGTTAAATTCAGTTTTTGAGTGAAATATTGGAAAATAAAAATAATTAAACGCGATAAAATCCGAAACAATAGTTTAATTCCATTCCAATTCCAGAAAAAGATAGGTATGAAGTTAATTAATAATTAAGCAAACGATAATGAACGATGATAAGGAAGGCCGTAAATGAATAATAAATTATGATGTAGACAAGGAGATGAATACTTCTTTTAGAAGGAAGTTCCTTATCCTTATCCTTATCACACGATACGAATTAGGCGGATGGGGGCTAGGCGAGAAAAGTGTAAGATTTTTCCGTCACGACCCCTTTTATATAGTGCGAGCGAGATGGAATGACATCCATCTCCATCGCACTATTTCTTATCTTGCCTATGACGCTTCATTTTAAGGGGCTACTCCATGCGAACGACCTTGAGCATTTGACCGCTTGCTACAATATTAATATATTGTAGCGAGCGGCTCGCCGGAAGAAATATGTAAGACGCCACCTATTGTACGAAAGTAGTATTATTTTTTCAACATCAATAAACTATTTTATGGAAATACACATAGCGTACAAAGATAAATGTATTTTAATTTTTTTATTCTGTATATATTAGTTGCATTATATTAGAATTATGTATTTTCATATATTATCTAATTATGAAATTTTATAATTAATTATATATTAAAACTGAAGCATTGAAAATTGTGAGTTTAAAAGATACCTATTCACTATAGGTAAATAAATAGATAGCTCGGCTTTTGTACAAATATTTGGTGCAATAAAAAATAAATAAATAAATAGGATGTTTCGCATATGTGTTTTTGATTATTGTTAATTTTTACGTGTCACGTATTGAAAAGTTACCTACTAATTTTTGAACTTATGCTGGCAGATATTATCCTCACCCCATTGATTGATGAGGATGAAAATCAATTTTATTTCTACATACGTAATTATATTTATTTATACATAAGGGTAACTTTAATAAAGGTAATACAAAAATCAACAAGAAGTATAAGGGTTCAATCTTTCAATTTCAGTTGTAAAAAAACGTTACCCCCACACTAGGATTTTCTCCTGTGTCGTGGAGGCAGTTTACAAACATATATTGCACAAGGACAAATATCCAGACCCGGAACAATTATTTGTAGGCCATACAAATACTTGTTCCATGCGGGATTCGAACCCGCGGCCCCCAGCGCAACAACTGATTGCTAAGCCACTGCGCCACCATGAAGCTAATACAAAGACTAACTTTGTATTTGCTTCATGGTCGCCGGGTTATAGCTAAAGTGACCATACGTCCCGTTTTGAACGGAACTGTCCCTTTTCTCGGTCTCCTGTCCCATTGTCCCCAAACAAAGCTCCGGGACACAAAATTGTCATGTAACTAGTTGGATGGAAGTATTCAAAGTCAACAATCTTCAACATAATTTTTTTTAATCGAATATATTTTATGTCTACCTGGTACGAATGCTCCGGTAGAAAGAGTATTTTTTTATTTTGCATAAATTGTGGACGTCTGAAAGAAACACTTACGGTTCCAGAGTTCTAAAGGCGATGTTGTTAACAAAGATAACAATAAAAAACTTGAGCAGAATTTTATTCTTATTTAAAATCATCACCAACTTTATTAAAGCAAATTTAATCCACTGACAAATGTAATTAATAATTAAAAAAAATATGTTGCATTTAATAATTACCGTCTATACCGAATATAATTTTATAGTGAACACTAATTGTATAAAGTTATAGTTTTTAGAGTATAAATAAACCCATGTCCTGTTATGAGTTAAAAAATAAATGGTCAGTTTAGTCTTTTTAGTTAAATTTAGTTTTAAAATTTTTTAGTTTATAGTAAAAAGTAGGTATATTAGTACTTTTTACCGAATTATAAGTATAGAACACCTTATGTACTCAATTATTTTTTGAAAAAGAAGAAAAAACAAGCAATAAATAATATACTATATTTTAGCAAAAAACTATAACTTAGTAATACTAATTATAACTTAGAACATAAATGAAAAACTCATAACTGACTGACTTTTTGGCCCGACCCAGGATTCGAACCCGGGACCTCATGATCAGCAGTCGCACTACTACAACCACTAGACCAACGAGGCAGTACTATACCTGATAAGATATTGTGGTTGGGTGATAATATTGAATTAGCCTTTTATAGTGTAAATTATAATATTTGTCGAAATTTTAATTATAGATTCGAACCTTACATGCTAATGGTGCTTCATTTTTTTATTTGCATTTACTTCAAAGAAAATACACGCAAAAAGCTTCATCGCGCAGTAAAAAACACAACAAATATATGTATAACTAATACGAAAAATTATACCCAAAACAAACAAATAATACTACCTATAAATAACCTAATAAGTGATATTATTTATCGACTGATATTACGTGAGTGTATGCGGCGCTGGTCGACGCTCTAACGACACGGGCTTCGCGTCGAAGAGCTCAGGGCTCAATGACTCCAGCAAGCCCGTGAGCAGTGAATATGCCCAGATTTTAAAATAATTTCTTAATAAAATCAAATTTTGGTCTTTTGAAAAAAAATTTACTATAGAAATGTTCATTAATAAATTGCCTATCCATTGGTGTAAATCGCAAAATAAAATAATACTTACTTTACGAGGAGATGCATGTTATCAATAATAATTTCACATTTATGTGGTTTCGTTGTAAGGAGATTATATTAATATTTATTCCTTTAAAAAAAAATTGGATATAGCTTTTATGGAATCAAGATTATGTAGAAATATAATGTGTTTTTTATTTGTTGATATATCTTTTAAATAAAAAGTAGATAGCTTCTAAAAACCGCCGAAATAACGACTAGCGCGACATTTTGCTCAACCTGCGCCTTAATATACGCTATTAATTCATTTATTTGTATTTGTTAATTAATAATATAATACGTTTATCAATAATAATGTACTACGAAAGGAACTTCGTTCCAACTGAGTGTTCCACGACACTCACGCATGTGTTTTACTTAGTACATAAATATATCACTTTATAATATTACATTTCTTACAAATGTTTTCCTTGAGCATAAAATTGTACCTTGCCGTGACGGTCATTTATAACCTTTAGGCCAGTCCAGTGAGCATTTTAAGGTACAGAGGATATAATATAAATGGATTTCGTGTCTAAATGTGTAACAATTTGTCACTTGTCAGGTTGTCGAGCCCGCAGTCCATGTCGTTGGGGGGCTCGTTGTCTCTGCAGCCGGTGCTTTATGGCTCAGGTAGTGGAGCCCCGTCGCAGCCGCCTGTGCCTCCGACGAGGCATCCCTCACGCCCCTCCGCCTCCATACCGAATATGCATATTATAAGCGCGTGAGTAACCTTGTCTTGACTTTTTTTGAAGACCTGTTGTTTTTAATTAATTTTAATCTCCTAGTTTAGTGTAAGTGTAATATTAGGTTGATTATTTAACTTGGTACATCAAAACAAAGCAAGGATATAAATGTTTTATTATGTAAAATGTTTTTGTCATTCATTATCTTTATATTTGTAACGAAAATAGTGTTTAAGGTGATTTAAATAAGATGTGGAATTCAATTGTTTTTTAATATTTATTTTTTGTTTTATTGTTGTACGAAATGAACCATGAGATTTACAGTGTCACGCATAGAACCTAATTCTAATATTAAATTCATAGCACTTGCATAGATTTTAAGGTACGTGAGGGTAATACGGTTTTACGGTTAAGCTATAGCAATAATTAGGAACACTACAAAAAATCAGCTTAAAAAAGCTAACTACACGACACAATCTATAATATTTACAATAATGTCAACTGTCAAAATGGCGTCGATAAATCAGCGCCCTTTTGACCCTTTATTATTTGATTGACTGATGAAGAGCTATTCACAAAGCCATCCATGCAAACAAGGCTGTAGTTTTTGAGTCTTGAGAATGCGACCATATTAACCGGATGGCCATATTACCCTCACGTACTATATAAATATAAGAAATGAAAATATCGCTTTTCATAAATATGGCCGCTGGCTAGCACAGTGGCGAAGCGTTTTGGCTGCAGGTTCGAATCCCTCACGAAACAACTATTTGTATTGCCTAAAATATTTTCTCTGAGCCTTGATGTTAGTATATACATACATACAATTTATTTATGTAAAGAACCTCCATAATATGGGAGAAATAATAATATGTGTTGTCGGTTTTTTTGTTTGTTTTAACCACGTTTATTTATTAATAATCTAACATTGTTTTCACCATCTCGTAGGTGATTTAATCGCAAATTCTCTACTACAAAAGTACCACGCGTATACAGTAGTGGACTATTTGCATACTAATGCAAACGATTAAGTGGGTTATAGTATTTTTTAAATCTCCTTATAATAATTCTTATTGCATTTAACTTTCTACATGGAGTGCAGTTTTAACATAATAAAACAATTAACTTTTTATATTAACTGTGACATCATTATAACCTAGGCATCAATTAACCTTTGCCTAACTCTGGGTATTAAGAGAGTAATATTTCACCTACAATTTAATGCAAATAACCTATGAGTGGATCTCCACTTTCGTAGATACGAACATTGGGAAACCTGCCAACTAAGGAGCAGACGTAATAAATACAGAGTCATATTTCCTTAGCAATTTTTATATTATCAACTTTATTACTCAAGGAATAAAATCTAGTTACTTTAGGCGAAAGCGTAAGCAGCTTTGTGTCGTATAAATATGTATAAGTAAGTCTCAGAATAAGTTAAAAAGGAATGAAAAAAAAGCCGGCCAAGTGTGATTCGGACTCGCGCATTAAGGGTTTCGTCGTAAAACAGGTTTCTAGTAGGGGGCTCAATTAGTCTTAATTTATTTTATTTTTATTATTTGTTGTTAAAGCAGCAACAGAAATATACATTCTGTGAAAATTTCAACTGTCCACCTATTACGGTAGTATAATACAGCCCGCTGACAGACGGACGGACGGACGCACGTAATACGGAGGCTTAGTAATTGGGTCCCGTTGGTTACCCCTTGGATATAGAACCCTAAAAATACAAGTAACAAATCCAACTGCACCCGTAAAATTTTATGCACACTAAAATTTCCATTAACGTATTGGCGGGCATCCCGATATCTCTTCAATGATATACGTGAATAAACACTCGTAAATAATAATATATAAATGATTTTACGTGGTAAAGCCATGCTGTAGCTATATTAGTAGTATAGTTATAGCACGAATGGGTCGGCTCGACCGAGGAAGGACCACGCTCTCACAGAATGCCAGCGTAAAATAGCAGCTTAACGCTGTTTTGTTTCGTATGGTGAGTGTAGAGAACCGGAGACCCTTTTTACTGGAAACGAGGCAATCCATCTTAGTCCTCACGGGTGACGACGCATCTGCATTTTGATTTGTAATCGAGGATAGATGTAGACGTCTATGGGCCGCAGCAACCACTTACCATCAGGTGGACTGTGTGCTCGTTTGTCATCCTTATCTTATTAAAAAAAAATTAAAAATATTACCCACGTTAGATAATGTTTGCCTCTTTTAAGAGTATAAAATATGTTCATAATAAATTAGCTTAGATCTGCGTAATAACATAAATTATTTATGTTACCAAATCTGAAGAGCTCCTCCCGCCCTAGAAAAGATAAACAACCAACCATCGATAATAGGAAACGTGTTTCGCCTCTAAACGCGGCATCATCAGGTGAAATAGACTGTGGTGACTGACCGCAAAGAAAAAATACCGTAGATAACCGAATTAAAAAAAATATTTTTATTGTACAAAAGCGTGGTGTGCTTTTTCAGATATTTTTATGATGACGCTAATTTTACTAATATCCACAAAAATATTTACAACAAATGACATCATGTTTTTATATTAATTCGTATATTAATTATTTATTTATGTTAATCACTATATTCTTATTTTATACTTATTGAAAATTATTTTCTACTTCTTAGGTCGGTTGCTATACTAAAACTAAAAAGCTTGTTTTTTTTAACTATTATTTATTTTCTATTTTTTAGTGCGGCTAACTACAAAAGCGTGTTTTTTTGGAAAGAAGTTCTTTTAGGCGGCTTACAATAGATTCAACTGGTAGAAATCTTAGTTTTTTATGAATTATTTGCAAATCCTGAGGAGCCTGGCAAAGATAATGGGACAAACTATTTAAATTATTGCATTGTCATCAGTTCCTGATAAGTGTACGAAGTTTCAAATCAATCCGACGTTTTGAAGGGGATGAAAATCAAATTCAAAAATTCCGTTACATTAATACATACCAAGATCATGAGTGCAGCGTCGCGCTTGGGACGTGCTGAGAGGAACCAACTTGTTTTAGCCAGCTTGGTTAACTGGTCTCCCCCGAGGTGTGCTGACCCCAAGATAATAAAAGCGTTTTAAAAGGTAATCTAGTTCTAAACAATAATTCTAGCCATGTGGTGGAGGCGTTAGAAAACCCATCACTCTATTTCTACACGTGGCTATTGTAAGAGGCGACTACGCGATGTACTGAAAAGATGTTATGGCTTCTAATAAATAAATACAGAACCATCTCGTTTACGCAAGGCGTAAATTACGAGTAGCCAAACTGAAGACTGGAAGCAGCTTCAAAGATGCCAAATGAGTAATGCGATTGTCAACCCGCCTGCCAAGCGTAGCAATTGAGGCAAATCTGGCCAGCAACAGGAGAGGCCAATGTCCTAGCAGTGGACTTTTACGAGTTGATAAAGATGAAGGAAAAGAATCCTAGACAATATACAATACAATGCCTTTTATTGTACACTAACAAATAACATAACAAGAAACAAACAGAGAAAAACAAAAGACGGTCGTATTACTATTCAGCAATTTCTTTTTGACAACCTAAAAAGGAGTGTACTATAAATAATATTATGATCTAAAAATTAATAATCATGAAGTAATTTACTTAAATGACTGACTAGTGATTATAAAGCGACAGGAAGAGATGAAAGGATGGGGGAGAACTTAGAGGGTAAGATAATGTTTCTTAATTTGTTTTTTAAATGAGTCTATTACTTGAGCACATTAAATATTATAATTTGTGAGGTTCTTTCTTAGTCTAAAGTCTGAGTGAAGGGCGTTCGGTAGCGTGCAGGGTCGAAGCGCGTTTCGCATACAACTCGAGTAGCTACTCAGGTACAGAGATATGCGTTTCGCACGCCGTAGCAACGCCCTGCTGTACACTCTGAAACAATTTCTACATTTATTTTTAGTTATGTTTATTTTTGAACGATTAAATTAATCACATTTGTATTGATTTCAAATTAATATATAAAAGTATTTTAAACTATTACGTTTTTTTTTCTATATGCAGTAAATATGAAACTTATATTATATCTTAAATAAAATATAGGCAACTGCGTCTTAGGACACTATCAACACATTAAGTCATGGGTAAGCATATTTATCTTTTAATATTTTCTAAAAATGTAAATCACACAGTGTTTGTAATTACTTAATTATATAATATTTTTTACATATTTTTTTTATAGAATAAGGGCGACAAACGATCACGCACTCCTCCTGACTGTTAAGATAAGCGGAATGCGTGAATGACGATTAAGAATAAAAATGCTGATGCGTCTCTCCCTTGAGGACTAAGATGTAATGCCTCGATAGAATGCACCTTTCAATCACCATACGAAATACTGCAGCATTAAGCTGCCTTTTACGCTGGTATTCCGTGAGAGCATGATCCTTCCCCGTTCGAGCCGACACCTTCGTGCTACTACTGTATAGCTGCAGCATGTCTTCTTTACTACGTATCCAAATCATTTTAACTTGGTAGAGCCACACTGCAACTACATATATTATGTTTGTAGTACTAATGGGCCGCTTCAACCGAGGAAGAACCACGCTCTCACAGAATACCAGCGTGAAATAGCAGCTTACTGCTGCTGTGTTGTGAGTCTGATGAATGTAGTAGAGAACTGGATATCCTTTTTACTGGAAAAGAGGCATTCCAGCTTAGTTAGTCCTCAGGGGTGACAACGCATCTGCATTTTGATTCGGTTTGATACACTTAGCTGTGTTACACATGATGTGACGAGTCACACAGCATCCACTTATCATCAGATGAACTGTGTGCTCGTTTGTCACATTTATTATTTAAAAAAAAACTTAAAAAACCCATTTATAAATTTTTGTAGCTTTTGTCAACTAAAAATACATGCAGCTTGTGAAATTCGGCCAAAATTTTACTAAAAGGTCTTAAAATTTCATTAGGTTGCACCTTAAGTCGATGGACAGCGAAATTGGAGCACTCAACGAAAACCAAAGGAAATTGTTGGTTGGGTGGATGAAATTACCAGCGTGAAAAACGGGACAGAT